CTCGTCCCGGCCTTCCGAGGGGCAGGCCGCGCGGGTTTCCGTGTGCGCTGGTCTGCCCGGCCGCTCCTCGGCCCTGGCGGGAAAGGGAGGCGGTGCTGGTGTTTCCGGGAGCGTTCCCGAGCCCGTGTTTAGTCAGGGCTTCTCTCAGCGGAGCGGGAGAGGGGGAGCTCGTGAGGGAAAGGGCGCGGGGGTTTCGATTGCTGGAAGTGCTTTCCCTAACCGGGAAGAGTGGTTTTCCAGAGGTGTGCGCCTGCACGGTTGGTCACCTCTCCCTCATATCTGAAAAACGGTGTGCAGGTCACCGGGAGCGCTGTGATGCAATTCGTGGCAGCTGTTTAATCCTGAAAGGTCCAGCTCTGCTGCTCTGAATTGATTTTTATTACAGAGGTAGAATATTCAGGGGTGTGTTGTGTGGCATGAGTGCATCTCTGTTCACCATTATCCGTTAGGGCCTTTATTCAGGGCCTGTGTACATCGTCGTCGTTTGTACCTTTCCCGACAGCAACAAAGTTGTCCTGTGACTTTGTTTCATTGACTTGGCTGCTGTCTAGACCAGTACACCACTGCCAGCATCAGAGATGCTCTTTAGTTGGTTTGATACTGCTATTAATGTATAACAAAAACACAGCCTTTTCTCCTGTTGTGTTTTAAGGCCACCTGCAACACATTTAGGGCTTGGTTTGTGTTGCTGTTTGGGTTTTTTTAAGTAATGCTTACAGCTAATTGTATAGCACAGTCAATGGTGGAAATAGTTACTGGTTTTCTTGTGTTGATTTTAGGGAGGGAGTGCTTGTATGGCTGTGAAGCATTTGTTTTGAGGTTTCTTTTCATGCCTTTTAAAAAGATGATGCCAAGTGTGACTCCATTCTGACATATTAAAGTGTTTACTTTTTATAACATACTTAAAAAATACATACTGAAAGCTTGAAAATCTCTAGGAGGCCTGGTTTCATTCTAAAATACTTAAAATTTTTAATGAATAGCAGGAGTGGGAGAGGGAAGGAGACTAGTAAGTCAAGCATATTCAGAATGTAAGTACTTTTTTGGAATCATAGATGTAACTAGTTTCAGTATATTTAGGTTCACAAGCAAAATCTGCTTTTGAAGTGATGCTGGGAGCTTAAGCTTTTGGTTTGTCTGGTTTATTTCTAAGCTGACGTTTTTGCTTGTGATTTAGTACTTCATCTCATTCCTTTCACTCTTTTCTTTCTGTCCATGCCATTTTGCCCTTCTTACTTCCTTGTTCTATTGTCCCCAAAAAATACCTTTGGAGACATTTCAGCGTTCACCCATAGCATGTATGTGTTCAAGTTATCTTAGGTCAACTACATCCGAAATAAAATACTGCATAAAAACAATTCTTAACCCAGCTGGGAATGGCTTAAGGAGAACTTTTTGTAAGTATATTTAAACAATAGTGACTGATGACATGCTGCAGAAGGACTAAATGACAGAGTTCTCTTGGTTTGCAAGATTTATTTTTTTTTTTTTTTGTATGTTACAACAGAGGAGATAAAATGGAGCTGACCCTATTCTTCCATTCACTTTAATTCAAAGTGTTTTTGAAATGCCACATGCGTTAGGGCTTGTTGCTTGCTTTGCTTGTAGTCTCTATTTTGTCTGGTAGCCTTTGCCAGTTGTAGGAAAAACTCTTACTCTTTTTGTTGTTTCTGAAACAAAACCTTAAATATGTGAAGTGGGTTTGAACTGAAAAGTAGTTGTCAAGTTCTGTACTTTAAGTGTTATGCATTACTGAAAAGAACGGTCACCCTATTGAATTATTTTTGAAGTACTGTATGTCTAAAGTCTGTCTGTCATGTTTTTTTCTTTTTCAGAAATCGATGAAAGGATTCCTCTTTGCTAAGCTGTATTTGGAAATAAAAGAATATGAACTTGCTAAAAGGTAACGTGTTGATCTGTGTTTGTTCTTCTGTTCTCTAAAGTGTAAGAGAAAAGCTGAATAAATGTGAAGTAGACCAGAGAAACCAAGATCAACACTGAATGCCATTTAAGTCTTTATAAAACAACAACTTGAAAGATTAGTTTTGTGCTACTGAAAACCTTATCTGGTTGAAGTGGCATTTTTTGTTTTTACATTATATTATGTAGTCTTAGAATTTCTGGGAATTACTGCAGTATTAATAAACAGAAATACTTGCTGGCAAGTATCATCTGTATGTGTAAAACAATGTAGCTTCTTAGTTTAAGGTGTAGACAGGATATAATAAACCAAAATAGGTCCCTACTTTGCTTCTGGCAGATTAAGTTGTTACAGGTCAGGGAGGGAGTCTTAAAGAAAAATATTGGTCTAGTAACAAATTTTTTTCTCCTCCATAGGTATATATCTGCATACCTCAATGTACAAGAGAGAGATCCCAAAGCACACAGATTTCTTGGACAGATTTATGAAGCTGAGGATAACATAGAAAAAGCTTTTGGATGTTACAAGGTAGATGATTCACTGGCCCCTCATGTCCTCCTTTATTCCTTTGCAAATGAACTTTTAAAATCCTTCTGTGCTGGACATTCTCAAACCCATAGAAGTACTCCTGGAAAAACTGTATTATTTATACACATTTGACAATGGAAAGCACATGAAGCACTGCAGAGGAGATTCTTCACTGGATATCACTTGCTTCAGTTGGATATTTTAAAGTTGATTCTTTCATTTTTGTTCTGGACTTGGTCTTTGTGCTGCCTGTTATTAAATTCTTCCCATGTCCTATATTGCATTTTGGACTAAGGGCCATGAGAGTTGTAAAATTCCTTAATGTGGGCTGATGACAACAGGAGTCTAGTTGCTACTAGAAGACTGTAGGGCTCATAGTTTTTTTGCTTGGTTGGTTTTGGAGGGGACAAGGGCAAAAGGAAGGGACAAATAGGCAAGCATATAATGTAAAGTTCCCAATCAGAATGTCTTCATTCTGGTTTTGTGGAGGGAGATGGTATGCTCAGAAGCCTGGTTACCAACACAACTCCATGAAGTGCCATCATGATTTGTTAAACTGTGTGTGTCAACCTTTTTTCTAAAGTGTCCATGTCTGCCTAGACTAGAGATCCTTATAGTCCTGCTGTCTGTGTGTAGCAGTAACTAGTGATAGATGCAGGGGAAGTGGCTTTTACATTATTTCTTTTATGCTCTTCTGAATTCCAGCAGTTGTATCTGGGTGCTGTAAAGCAGTGGTGGCATTTAGAAATGCTTTTAGAAATATATTCTGTATTGATGGATCTAAATAATTTGAGTAGCTGGGTCTGTTTGTGGGGGGATAACTTACTTTCCTGTTCTGTATGGTTCAGAAGTTGAAGTTAATGCTATTATTTATTTTTTTTTGCCCCCTCCTCTCTGTGCATGGGAAAAACTAGCGTTCTGTGGAGTTGAATCCAACACAGAAGGACCTTGTGTTGAAGATTGCAGAGTTACTATGCAATAATGACATTACTGATGGAAGAGCAAAATACTGGGTTGAGAAAGCTGCTAAGCTCTTCCCTGGGAGTCCTGCTGTTTTCAGGCTGAAGGTAAATTCCAGATTACTTCTGTCCTATGGCTTCAAGAAACTCAGTATTTGACTGGAGTGCTTTTTGCATGTCACCTCAAGCAAAACTCATCCTGGTTGTTATGTTGGAATCTTTTAATATTATGACTATTAGATGTTACTTTTTTTGTAGTCTGACATTTTTGTCTGTCTTTAAACAAATCTGCAGCTAAAGGCTTTAATGTTTCAAGGTTAATCCTCTTAAAAAATGCCAAGGAAATGTTAGTTATTACATCTGAGAAGTTGAGACTAGGGAGGCACTGCTTGATATTTCTGTTGTGCAACTGGCAAGAAGATAGCAGGCCTGGGAACTCAGGCTTTCTTGCTTTTTTGTTTTTAAATCTGTTATGAAAACTGCAGAATGTGAGAAATACTGTTGTTCTCAAATACTGTGTAAATGCTTCCAGTCATGCAATCTCTTTAGTTTTGTATAGCTAAGAAGCAACCATATAAAAGTCTTCAGATACCTTTTTTTTAATGCAGCGTAGTCTATGACAAGGTATGTTGTCATTGAATTAAATTATTTTACAGATATTACCTACTAATAGGAGTCAAATTCTGAGGATTTTCTCCTATGATACTTGTCTTCATTTTCAAATATTCGAGTATTTAATCAACTTTATGTAGTACCTGAAAACTATGAGGAATATTGTAGTTTGAGTAATGTAGTCACGTAGTGGAGGGAAGAACACTGTGTCGTACTGTAGTTGCTGAGAGGACTTGCGTGGAAAATGAAATATTAACATGTTGCCTTCATCTTTAACAGGAGCAGTTACTGGATTGTAAAGGTGAAGATGGATGGAATCAGCTTTTTGACTTGATTCAAGCAGAACTTTATGCAAGACCAGATGACGTCTACGTAAACATCAGACTAGTTGCACTCTACCGTTCCAATAATAGATTAAGAGAGGCTGTGCTTCATTGTCAGCAAGCAGAGAAGAAAATTCCTTTGCATTCAAGCTTGGAATGGTGTTCCTGTGTGGTAGAGACACTTGAGGTGTTGAATCGTATTTTGATCCTGTGATAGTCTTCCATATTTTTTTAACTGGTCTGTTTCTCTTAGTGCCCTTACTCTTACAGCTATTACTCAAGTCATTTAACTCCTTCAAATGCAAGTCTGCTGAAACCAGTGGAATTACAAAAAACCTTTTTTTCTTGTAATTGGAATTTTCTCCCTAAAATTAAGCCTTATAGAGCTATTGAGTTTCAAACTTCAAAAGTTGAGTTAGATACAGCTGTTGCCTTAGGGGCAAAATTGATCAGGGAAGTAGTTCCCTGAAACTTTCCTACTGAAGAATATTTTAGGGTTTTGCCTGTGAAACTGGATTTTTTCAGTAAATGCTTCTTATGTTTCGGAGAAGTACTGCCCTTGCCTTCATGGAAGGATGACTGTTCCTTATCCTGTGATGAACTTTCTTCTTTAGGAATATCTGGAATCTTTACAAGACTTGGAGTCTGATAAAAATCACTGGAGAGCTATCAAGAAGGATCATCTGCTGGCCTATTCCAACTTTGTCAAAATGACACTTTCTTCTAGAGATGTTCAGGAATGCAGAGAGGCACTTGAAAGGTACTGGTTTAACTTCCTTATAGTAAAACCAAATCCTTTTTTCCTTTTTTGCCTTTTTTCCTCAATTATGCAATGGCTGTTAATTGTCTTTTATAAAACTATATTCTTCCACCTGTTAATCTTGAATGAGTATTTGAGGCAATACAGACAATGGATGAGGAATTCTTAATGTCCAAGTATGTTTTATTTTCTTTTTCTCCTCTAACATTGACCAAACCATCTGGGTTTTCTGCTGCCATTTTATTAGAGCCTTTCAAGATGATTACATCTGAAATACTTCCAGATTGTGGCAATGGTAACAGCCATTATAATTTTGTCAGATAATGGGAAGTGTGTTTTAACTGTTTTCTGGAAAGCCTCTCCTGAGTGAGGGTTGTCTACTAGCCTGTAGCTACTCAGATTTTTACAGTTCCTTTTGTTTTTGAAGAGCCTCTATAGATGTATTTTGGGCCTCTCTGATAAATGAAGGAAAGAGAAGGGCAGAGTTACTAGTGCCTCCTGCATGTCTCTAAGTCTACAGTAGTGAACATGTTTATCCATATAGTTTGGGAGGACAGTTATGTATGCAAGGAGATGTGCAAAGATATGCTGAAAACTACTGTAAATATTTAGGCAATATTTAGTGTTTTACTTCAGTAATCTTAAGTTGAGAGCATTGGGAGTCTGAGAACCATATTGTACTTTTGTGTACTTTTTTGTGCAGCTCAGGTTTGAGTAATAGAGTCAGTACTAGCCATTGACTCAAAGTTTCTTGATTTGCAGTTAAATAGCATCAACCAAAACCATGTGCTATAGCTTTTACCTAGGCTCTGTTTAGAATGAGTCTTCTCTACATTTTAGTTTTGATCGTGCACTTCAGTCAGTGAAACCCTACGTGAATGTGGCTGATGAGTTGTCTCGTACATTTGTGGAAATGAAAGGACAGCTATACTTGCATGCTGGAACTTTGCTACTGAAAATGGCCCAGCACAATGAGGCACAGTGGAGAGGTGTTTGTCAGCTAGCAGCATTGTGTTATCTGATTAGCTTCCAGGTAGGTAATTTCTCACTTTATGCTGTTAGTTGATACAGTTCTTGAAGTGTTCTTGCTGTATATTTGTTGAACTTCTGTATTCCTGAGATAATCTAGTGCTTATGTGCCTCCTCACTCCCTAAACCCTACTCTTCCATGGTTCTTTAAAAGGTTTCAAATGACATGAACAGGGTAAAAGTGTATCTTCAGCTGTTTCCCTTGTCAGAGTAACCTGATTCTTACAGGCTAGTGAGTTTATTTCCTCTAGTATATTCCTTTTTCTGTAATACACCTGAACGCGTATGTTAGGTATTAGGCTTATTGCTATAGGGAGCAGAGAGGATGAACTGAATAGTTCCCATGCACTTGTTGAGTAGACAGCAGAACTAAAAAAATCAAGCTTAATTCTTTGCCTTATGAAGTAAAATTGTCTTTTTTTTTAATGCCACTGCTTGCGTTCCAGGGGTTGCTCTTGTATATGTCTTATGTTTCTTGCAGTAGGTATAATTGCCCATCTCAGGGTTTTTGGGGGTTCTCTGCCCTTTCCCACACCCACCCCCTGGGTTATGTGACTTAGTACCTTCAGAATCATGTGCTTTTTCTGTGGTTTTCTAATGAAAAAAAAGGTGCTTGTTTCTCAATGCTTAATTTGTTTAAATGATCTGCAGTTATTGTGAAAACGCTGTAACACTTCTCTCCTTACTTCATCAGGTTCCTAAACCAAAATCAAAAGTCATAAAGGGGGATCAAACTGGACAAGATGTGCTAGAAATGTTGGCATGTGATCGAAAAAGCCAGTCTGGTAATACAAATAGCTACATAGTTCCATTTTAGTGTTACAGATAGTTACAAAGTGGTTTGTTAAATAACACATTCCTTTTTTGAAATGTATAGTTCAAACAAACCTAGTAGAGTGCATTCTCTTTTTCTAAGTGTGGGTTTTTTTCCTCATTTTTGCCTCTCCAGCACACTAAGAATTCAACTCATATGGTCTCTTAGTCTACTGGAAATGGCTTCTGCCTTCTGATACTATTTTGCAAGCATTGTTAGCTCTAAGAGGAAATGAAAATATTGCTGTTTCCCTGTCCTTTCCATCCTCTTGCTCTTTTTGCTGCTAGACATAGACAATTTTTCAACCTACAAATTCTTGCAGGGCCTAGGTGAAAATAAAGCAACCCACTAGACATCAAGTTCAATGGTTTCAGAATGGATTTTGATAAGACAGACTTCTGCTTGTATTACAGCTACTTATTTTAAGGGCAGTTGCAATGCCTCTAGAATAGTAATAATATGAAGATAGCTTTTTTTTTTTCCCCAAAGAACTGGATTTGCAAACACCTCGAGTTTGTTGTCACTCAAGCTTGGAAAATCTACATGCTGGAACACTGACCCAATTACAGGGAGAATATAACTTAGCAATCCATAGGTTTCATAAGGTGAAATCCTGATTCCCACCCAGCCCTTGATAGCAAAAACAGTCCAATGTAGTGAATATTGCTTTCCTTATGTTCACTGCTCTATTTATGTGAAATGGTTGATATTTTTGGTTTCTAGGTCATATGCTGCTGAACTTAAGCCACGGCAAGCAAGACTTCTTTAAAGAGATTGTGGAATCTTTTGCAAACAAGAGTGGCTTATCTACATTGTCTGATAGCCTGTTTGAGAGTGGAGCTTCTAGAGAGAGATCTTTTATTGGCACGGATGATATCGGAAATGTCAGTACACAAGCACCAGTGCAAATGGAACTTCATAGATGTGATATTGGTAAGAGGTTTTACTTTCTGAGACTCAGCTTTTTGTAGCAGAAATTATTCTACAAATACTTTATATTGCAACTAAAGACCAATACCTGAAGTAGCTGCTGAAAGTTGCACTAATGTCCTAGGCAAGACTTAGGCTTTATTGCAAAGTAGAGTAGTGCTTCCTGAATAATTCCTTACAGATTTTTGAGAAGTAAATAAGTTTGCTAAAACCAGTTGTCTATTTGACTGAATATGGTGTGGATGGGAGTGAAAGGACATCTGAGAGTCATACCCTTAGAAGTTTAAGGGCTTGATGGCTTGAGCACTGAGATGAACTGTCTATTTGATATGCTTAGCTAATTTTAAGTCTGTAATCTTTCATAAGTGAAGGTTGGAATCTTGATGCTCGTTGGTCTGCAGAGTGTCTTTGGCTGATCAGATAGAGTGAAATGTGAAACGCAGCTTTGATCAGATACAAATCTTGCTGACTTTGTTTTTGCACAGGTGCAGTTAGAATGCACAATGGCAGCCTCCAGCACCTCGTGTGGCTTGGCTTGCAGTGGAACTCTATGTCAGTCTTGCCCCCAATACGCAAATGGTTAAAACAGCTTTTCCAGTTGCCTCAAGAAACATCGAGACTTGAGACAGATGCTCCTGAATCCATTTGCCTACTGGACCTTGAAGTAAGTACGCTTTCAAAGTCCTTAAGTGTACTGTACGATTGAAGTTCTCTGGCATTTAATACCTCTTATTTCTTCATTTTTACAAAAACAGATATTTCTGCTTGGAGTGATATTCACTAGCAACTTACAACTGCAGGAGAATTTAAATTCTCACTACGGTGCACATCAGCCTCAGTTCTTACCATTGCCAGTGTGCAAACAGCTCTATACCGAAAAGCAAAGAACCTGCTGGGATGCTGTTCGTGCTCTTATTCAGAGAAAAACAATGTAAGGCTTTTTTAGTTTGGAAATGTTTGACTAAGCCCTTAGGCAGTTTCTTCTGCAGTACCTTGGATTGGTCCCAGTAGGTTCTTCTAATATTAAATTGATTATTTGACATCTTTTAGCCATTGAGGCTTTGTTGTAGCAGGGACTTGATATGCTTGAAAGATTTCTAAAAATGGTATTTCCATTTCTAAACTAGAAATAGGTTAGGACTAAAACTGTGGGCTATATTCTTCAAGCAAATGATATGCAAACATGAAAAATAGAGAATACTAATCAAGGAATGTTTCTTCTGATATTCAGACCAGGAACATCAGCAAAACTAAGGCTTATTGTACAGCATGGAATAAGTACTCTGCGAACATTGGAGAAGCATGGCCTTCAACCTGCCTTAATTATACACTGGGCAAAAAGCCTGCAAAAAACAGTAAGTTGAAAAGACTTAAATATCTAGAAGCTGAGGTGTTTTTCTCTCATTTTCCAAACTATAAACAGATTGGGGGAGCAGAATGCATTACTGAGAGCATTTGGGTTTTGTCAGGTGAATTAGTTGCTTTAGTCACCCTATAAAGTACTGTCTTTAAGCTGTAGTATTGCTTTCTACACGTATATTACTTTACGTATCTTTTGAGATAAAGCCCTTGAGGTTTATCTCCAGTGTCAGAGAAGCACTCTTGCAACTTTTCAAGAACACAGAAGGATATGTATGTACAAATAGTATTTTTACTTGAATTTCTTGAAATAACTTATTTCCTTTCCTTTTTCTTCACCAGGGCACTAGCCTTAACTCCTTCTATGACCAGAAGGAATACATTGGACGAAGTGTCTACTACTGGAAGAAAGTTTTGCCTATCCTGGAAACTATCAAAAAGAAGAGGAGTATTCCTGAACCTACTGATCCTCTCTTCAAACACTTCCACAGTGTAGACATTCAGGTACAGATTGATTAAGCCAAGGTTGAAGTAAGAGAGGGTCTATGTCAAACTTACATAGCTGCAGAATTTTTCTCTGCATTGTACAACTAATTTTTTTATTACTAAAAATCTGTTAATGATGAGATTTGGTAGTATGGTGTCTGATAAAGGGGGGAAACATCTATGTTTACAACTTTATCCCTACCTTTAAAGCTTGGAACACACTGAATACTCTTAGTACCAACTTTCTTTAAAAATTATTTTCCCTGTATTACAGGAAAACAATATCAGATGTGTTATTGCACTGTTAGGTATAAGTTGTCTTTCACTTTCTTTGTAGGTCTCTCAGGTTGCAGCATATGAAGAAGAAGCACACATAGCATTTGCAATGTTGGATGCAGTTGATGGAAAAACTGATGACGCTTTACTAGCATTTGAAGCTATTAAGAATGTAGTTTCATACTGGAATCTTGCCCTGGTAAGTTAATAAATTGCATTACCCCAAAATGTTTTGTGTTAGTCAGTTGCCTTCTGATGGATTTTAATTAATCTGTGCCCTGTTCTTTAGATCTTGCAAAGAAAGGCAGAGGAGTTTGAAAATGATGCCATGCTGCCAGAAGAACAAGAAGAACGCAAAACCTATCTTCTTAAAAGCAAGCATTATCTAATAAAGATCATTGAGGAAAGTTCCTCAGATATGTCAGCAATGGAGAAAGTAAGTAATTCTTGCTTTCAAAATGTGTTTCAAGAGGTGGCAGTGACTTTAGGTACTGTCTCAAAACCCTTTGCATGAGTTTTTTAGACCAGGCTTTGCATTAAGGCAACTTAACCTTATTTCTTTGCTCAAGATAACCCGCTTACCACCACTGAGTTGATAAACTGAGTGACTTCTGTAACCTATCAGATCAGGCAATATTCTGGCTGCTCTGCAGACAAAAGCTATAGTGTAAGCAAATAGCTTTTATCACTATTTTTTTATAGAGGTTAATAGTTTGTAAAAATATAATTAATGTTTGTGTTAATTTTCTTTTATTTAAAAAGTGTAGAGCTTTGCTGGAAAAAACAGTATTTGTGTAATGAAAGCCTTGTGAATTGTTCTGCCAGAGTCCTGAACGTAGCCTGTCTTGCTATGAGGGAGAATTACAATCATGATGCCTATTTCTAATAATTTTCTAGCTGCCTGTATCTATTGATACTGTGAGGGAAATGCTAGATACAGTGATGCAGGAGCTCGGTGAGAATGGTGAAGAGGGAAGTCTTGTCTTCAGAAATGGTCTGCCACAAGCTGTAGATTCAGAGATGAAACATTCCACTCCATCACCACCTAAGTTCTCTCTTTCACCAACCAAGACCTACAAGGTATGTTAGCCAGCTATTATTTCAGGAAATTGTCAGGTTTGAATAAAAATTCACAATATTCAATTTTTTTTTTCCTAGTTTTCTCCTAAAACTCCTCCTCAGTGGGCAGAAGATCACAGATCTCTCCTTCAAATGATCTGTCAGCAAGTCGAAGCTTTAAAGGTAAACAATTTTGTCATCATATTCAGTGAAGAACAGATGGCCTTTTAGTTACAGTAAGGACTTAGTGATAATAGCATGGGCTAACATACAGCTCCTGGAGTACTCCTTAAATCAGTGGAATTATCTTCTGTAAACATCTGTCTAAAAGGAGTGCAAGGGTTAGTATTTTTTGTTTAAAAACTTATCTGGGACTTGGACAGGGGTGCAGAGGTTAACTCTTCCAAGGACCATATGCAGGAGTTGTGTTTTCATCAGTTTGTTTCTCATCCATTTGGTTCTGTTTTTTTTGTTTGGTTGTTTGTTTGGTTTTTTACTTCTGGCTTTAGAACACAGTATTTCATACTGAATGGGCAGATCTTGGATGATTTTGGCAGAATACCTCTTGATTTATTAATTTTTGTTTTCCAAGCTTGAATATCCTTTTAAATAGCAAAAGGGTAGGGACCATTCCTTATATTTTCTTCTATGAATACCTGTGTAGTACATACTTACACTCCTGATTGGCACACTGTCTTGACAGAATGAAATGCAAGAAATGAAACTTAATAATTCCAATTCAAATGCATCATCTCATCGGTGGCCTACTGAAAACTATGGGACAGACACAATGTCAGAGGGTTATCAGAGAGCACAAAATCTTCATGAGGCTCCATTAACAGGTAAGTTCCTGCTG